GCATACACATGATACAGGTCGGGCAGCATATTTCTGAACTGTAAACCAGATGAGACCCCCCCTCCCCTCCTGTCGCTCCCTTACTCCCCTTCCCTCGCTGTAGTTGCCAGATTTCATCTTTCACATAAACTCTAGAAACTAGAGTTAATGTGAAAGGTGAAATCTGGCAACTACAGCGAGGGAAGGGGAGGGAGGAATGATTCATATCATAACCAGTCAGGCAGTCAGTAGCACTGCAGTTAAGGCGTCAGTTTCTTGTTGTTTTGTTTCTTGTTATTACTAGTTTTATGGATCGATGTGTGACGAGGAGGAGTCTGTGGCGGGCAACAGTGATCCTGCCGACCAGGACATGGAAGTTGAAGTGACTGAGACTGTTGACAGCCAGTCCACTGAGACTGGGGCCAGTGGCAGTGAATTTTTGTAATTTTGTAATAAAATATTGATAATATTAACTTTTTTATATCAATTATATTTTGTTTTACTTGTAAATAGGCAAAACAAATTTTTAGTATTTGTTTATTTAATTTTTTTTAAAGTTGCAGTTGCGCCGAAATTTTTTGAAAATGGTTGCGGCGCAACTATTTCAGTAGAGTTACCGTTGCGGCGCAAAAAAAAAGTTGCGCTTGCCCACCTTTGGATATCTCAGTTAGCCGGAACAATTGGCGAGGCGCACTTCCGGGAATGAGAGATTTCCGGGTAACGAGACGACTCTCAAAACCGTAAAAAAATCCCCCATCCCCAGAATTTTCCAGGTAACGGAAAACTTTCTCGGAAGTTCCAGATATTGTCCATTACATCATCTCTTTAACCCGGAAAAATATCCCTCATCCCCGGAAATTTTCCAGAAATTTTTGGGTAATGGAAAAATGAACTCAGAAGTTCCAGAAATTGCCCATAATTGTTCATCAATCATCTCTTGAACCTGGAAAAATTTCCTCCATCCCCAGAATCTTCTCGAATTTTCCAGGTACCGGAAAAATTTTCTCAATTTCTGGAAAAGGTGCGTGATTTTCATCTCTCAAACCTAGAAAAAGGTTCCCCCTTCCCTGCAATTTTCCTGGCATCTGGAATTTTTTCTCGGAATGTTCCACGCATTGGCTTGGGTAGTTACACTAAGGCTTTTCCATGCCTCTGCCCAGTTAAGCACTGCATTAAGGAAGTTGTAGGCTTTGTAATTTTCCAAAGTGAGAACTCCCCTCATGTCAGCCTCCATGCCACCCTCATCCTCCAGCACCACAAGACACTCTTCCTGGTACATATATCTGTAGTGTCGCTTGCAGGCCTCTATCACTCCCTGGTCCATTGGCTGTATTAAGGAGGGGATGTTGGGAGGAAGACACAAGACCTTGATTTGACCACCAAGTCCCACAAGCTCCTCCATAGCAGAATGTGCAAGGGCATTGTCAAGGAGCAGGATGGCCTTCACATTATCCCTCGAAATACCCAGCACTTCTTTCTGATACGTGATGATGACAGATACAAAGTGGCTGTGAAACCAGGTGTGGAAGATGTTGCGAGTGAACCAGGCAGTCTTATTCCCCTTGTATATCACTGGTCAGGCATTCATGATATTTCTTAAAGCCCAGGGCTTGTTTGCCTTTCCCACAACCATCGGTGTCAGCCGGTGGGTGCCGTCAGCATTGGCACAGACAAGAATCTAGACACGATCCTTTGCCATCTTCCTGCCAGCTACGTGTGTCTCGTGCCTGGAAGCCTGGGTGTTGGATGGTGGAGCCTTCCAAAAATGCCTGTTTCGTCAGCATTTTATATCTGGCTGACCAATAACTGAGCGTCTTCAATAATTTTCACGATGCTTCCTGAAGGGTTCAACACTTCCTTCATCAGTACTGGCAGACTCGCCAACAACTTTCTTGTTAACCAAACAATGACGACTTCTAAAATTGAAAAGCCAACCAGAACTTGCATTGAAGCCATGTATCTTAAGATGCTGTGCTAAGCGAGCTGTGGCATTTTGAATGACCACGCCATGTACATTGATGCCTGATGCACGTTCCTACTTGTACCACTTGTACAGTGGTCCCTCGGTTAACGAAATTTTGGCTAATGAGTTCCCTTCCATAAGAATCTTCATTTCGGTTAACGAAAAAAAATTCGGTAAATGAAATTCTTACGAAAACGTGTCAATATGTTTTGGCTTGCTCACCAGCTGGAAGATTAGTCCGTCAATACAGTAATCGGTTCTGGGGCTTATATTCGTTTCCATTGGAGTAAATATCAAGAAGGTTGTGTTATTCAATATATTTCCAAGTTTTATATTAAAATTATTAGTCATTTTAACACTTATTTAACATAATTGTAGTACAGGGAATTAGTTTTTGGTGTGCCCATCAGCCACTTCACTCACCCACCAAGGCATCAGTTTGTGTCTCTGTTCAGTGGAGGAAACATCTCGCTTGTGGCTCTCTTGAACACAGAGTATTTTTATGTTTTTACGGTACAATTATTGGTCATTCTGAAGTTTATTTAACATATTGACAATATATAGCACAGTGCAATGTTGATTTAAAGAAAGTAATTTTGAATTAGACCTAGTGAACTTAAAATTTTATTGGTGAAATGACTGCATCAAGCATGGGTCCCCTAGAATGTGATTTTTCCTTCATCCCCACTTCCTTCTCTTCTCCCTTCTCCTCCACCCCCACTTCTAATTCCCATCATCATCATCAACCAGAGCCTTCTACATTCACACCTCAAAGTAAGTGTACTTTACTGCATTTTTTTTTTTTTTTTTACTTTGTAGTATGTGCTTTTCGGTGAGCTGGAACCAATTACCCAATATTCCATTGAAACAATGGATTCGGTTAACGAAATTTTCGGTTAACAAACGACCTTCTGGAACCAATTGTGTTTGTTAATTGAGGGACCACTTCACAGCTTGATCTAATTCCATAAATTTTGCTGGCTTAATTCTTTTTTGCACTTTTTTGAGCTACCAGCATCCTCTAGAGTTAGAAAGTGCTTCCGAATCTTGTCCCAATTCTTTTTTATATCGCAAAATGTGCTGGACTTTATCCCAAACTCCTCACACATCATATGCATGGATGCGCCAGCATCCACGTGGTCTAACACATTATTTTTATCCTGAAGACTCGGGCACTTGAGCTTCATGTCCTTCCTATAGCTCCTTGAAGGTACAGACACCATATCAGTGATGTTTGATAAGGGAAAACACAAGCAGAGAACAAAATGTGGAGAGACAAGCCGCACACACCCAACCGCAACAATGACAAGCGGCAGACTGACTTGCACTTGGAGCGCAACCTAGCCTCCCAGCGTCCTGCGTGGTGTTAATCTTACGCTCCAGATATGCCGAGATTTTCCAAGATAATTTTATATATCTCGGCATTTCCCGAGTTATACTATAATACTTTCCGAGACCATATCCTTGCCAAGTTATATGAAATGTTGAGTTATCGAGGGTTTACTGTACTTCATTTATTTCTCAAAGGCAATAGGATGGTAACCACTCAAGAAAAAATCTGTAATATGTTCCCTGTACACATCTGATAGCATTTGAGAAAACACAGACAACATAAACATGCGTGAAGGCCAAAATTCTTGCATATAAGTAACATTTTGGTGTGCCTTGCTTTATTGAACATGGGATGGGAGACTGAAATTTGTAACACGTTCTGAATGTCTGTACGAGTACAGGAGTGCTACCAGTTGTACTGAGAGTGTTTTGTTAGCTACTGTACATTTACCAGTAACTCAAGAGCTTCTTTATTTTCTTCTATGTTTTACATGTACAGTATTGATAAAAAGGGGTGTTGGTACAGTTGTGGAAATGTGTTCCTATGCCTCTTGTGGTAACCCATGTCTCCAAATGGCAACGTCGTACTGTAGTTGTAATATCACTATTTATGAATGAAAATGGGTATTGGTCATGTAACGATGGATGTGATTGGTGGATAGGTTTGCTGTAAGTCATATAGGTTGGTTGTTTGGAGACACAGGTTACCATAAAGGGTGTAGGAACACATTTCTGCAACTGTACAATGGTAAGGTGTTTGCCTCTCACCTTTGTATTCTGGGTTCAATCCCTGGGCTGGATGTGAGATGGGTGTTATCCAGTGTGACGCGACCAAATATTGTAGGCTGCCTCTTGTGCTAATACACTGTACTGTATTGGACAGTGAAGGACAAACTCACCAGGAACATTGGGGGTAAAGAAGCCAGTGGCTATCGTCGCTATCAAAGCAGTAAAAGGGGGGGGGGATGATAAGCATCTTTGGCAAGTGAATCTTAGAAGAACTGAGAAACCTATCTTCTTTAATTGAGTTCATATGTAGAATGAAACACCATGGTACAGGTAGTTCTGCTATAACGCGATAATTGTGTTCTTGTAAAATATCGTGTTATAGAAAATCGCGTAATAGAAATAACAGGGCTTATGGAGAAAATAGGGTTAGGTGCAGATTACTCGAAATCGAAAAAATTTAGTAGTTAGCCTAACACAAAGGATAGCACAGTCTAAATAAATGTTACATTCATATCTAATAATGAAATCATACAGTAAATTTAACACTTTACCTTGAAAAAATATGAATGTAACTTGATGGGGGAGAAGGGTGATTTTGAGGTTGATAACATCAAGCTTCTCTTCAAGTGTTATATCCTTTCTTTTACGATAATCACCGGGAATTCTATCATCAGAATGCTTTTTGGAGATATTCTTCTTTACCATATTCACAGTTAATACCACAAAATTGGAGAAATAGTAAGCAAAAATCGCGTTATAGCAAACAAGCGATCGCGTTATACAAATATTGTTCCGAATTCATAAATCGCGTTAGAGCAAATTCGCGTTATCAAAACACGCGTTATAGCAGAACTCACTGTATGTGAATTTGAAATGAATCAAACCCAATGCAAACACATTACAGGGTAACTGGATTATTTTGTAGAAACTAATTAATAATGATAGTAATACTTTGATGATATGAATTCTGTATACAGTAGTTATTATTTCATTACAGACACAGTTCACTGGAGATGAGCAAGCAGCCATCCAAAATGTCTTGCGGCAGAAGCTTGGACCATCCTTCATCAGTCAGCGACCTGGAGCAGGAGCCCAACGCATAGCATATATTGAAGGCTGGCGACTCGTGAGCCTCGCAAATGAAATTTTTGGTTTCAATGGCTGGAGCCATTCAGTTACAAACCAGACTATTGGTAAGAATTTTTGCAAAGCCATTTTAGTTTACATCAGAACTGTACAGTTGAAACCTGATATACAGTACAGTATATCAATGAGTCTTTGCTGCACTTACAGGTCATTTTGGAACAGGGTAAAAATGGAATGTGCAAATTTGGGGACTTGTAGTTTTGCAACAACTCAATAATGGTACAGGTAGTACTTATGGGCCTCGGTTCATGGCCTTTGACCTGAACCAAATAGATTACTGTACTCATCCATATTGTGAGTGTTCCATAATAATATTATTTTGTAACAGAAAGATGGTTCAGTACTGTATAGTATGGCTAGAATGGATGTTCTCAACTATTCAGTCATCACAAGCAGGATAGTTTCTTTGGTTTTTATTCTATGTAGGATTGTACCAGTACTGTAATTGTATCATTTTCAGATGTACAATATTACATTTGACTTGTTACATCATACGTCCGTATTCACAGTCACTACACCAACAGACCGATCGGGAGAATCATTGTGTTTCGTTATTCAGAAACAATTACAGGCCCAGAGGTGCTCCTGGTTGATTGGGTCTCCTATCGTAATCGTTGGAACAATTCATCAGGAAGGGGGTACCCACCCTATGCCAGTCCCAATGGATATATAACTTTTCACCATCCAAATTTTGATATACATTATTGAGATATAATTCAAAACTGATAGGAAATGAGTTTGTTGGTGAGAAAGTCTAATTTTCAAATACATTCCAAGGTTGTTGGCTATTTACAAGTGTATAATAATCTCAGTTGATGATGAGTGTTCCTCAACAAACACCGTGCCACGAATACAGTACTAGTCTGTAGGACTGCAGGTTGCAAAGATTCGTTAGTGATCATAATGGGAAATGAATAACCAAAGCACTGTAGGTTTTTCTTATTTTTTCTTAGTGATTTAAAGGATTATGACCTTTATTTTTGTAACCGATGTTTATTTATGGAGATGTTACCCACTTCCACTACCAACAATGATGGTTTGGCAGGGCTTTGAAGATGAGGGAAAATGTGTGGTTAAAACCAATCAAACCTTTGAGAACCTGATTTAACTTTTCTTAACCTAAAATGATACCTATATTTACAAAAATATTACCTTATTTAACCGATGAAGGAGCATAAATTGATTTTGTGTTCATGGTTTCATTCACAATGCATTTCTTCTTTTGTTTGCAAAAAAATTAATTCTAGAATTATTCATTTGTTATGGCTTCCTCATGATAAACACACTAAAAATATGCAAAAACAAGGAGAGAATCACTTAAAACTCCTCCATTGGTTAATTGAGGTAGGTTTGTTTAGTGTGTGTGTGTGTGGTTTGTTTGTTTGTTTGAACCCCACATTTTCTCTTTAAAGCCCTGTCCACATTCTGTACATCATTATCATATCAACATATATATATATCAGCAATGAAAGTGAAGGTCATATTATTTTTAAATCCTCATGAAACACATATGCAAAACATATTTTAGTTATTGATTTCCCATTACGGTCACCTAACGAATCTTTACCCCAATGGGGGCATAATATCAAGGATGGGTAACAGTAATGAAAAAAACACTGTAATAATACATGGTATTAATATCCAAAAACAATAAATGGTTCCAAAAATGCTGTCAGATGAACAATGCACCAACCCACAATGCTTTGTGTGTGAAGCAGTTTTTAGCCAATAAAAACATCACTGTGCTTGAGCACCCACCCTATTCGCCAGACTTGGCTCACTGCGACTTCTACCTCTTCCCAAAGATCAAGTCCGTGCTCAAAGGAACCAATTTTTTGTCGGTAGAAGAGGTGAAAGCCAAAACGACGGAGCTCCTCAACAGCCTTACAGAACATGATCTGCTGAATTGCTTTGAACTGTAGCAGCATCATATGCAACTGTGTGTCAACTCAGAAGGGAACTACTTTAAAGGCGATCACAGTTGATTTTCTTAATTTGGTAAATAAAAAGTTACAGCATTAGTCTCGTTTATTTGTGTCGGGCCTCGCATACTATATACTGTATTGTACTCACCAGCATATGCCGTCATCTTGAGTTTACATTAGGCATATACTGTCCACTCTGCTTAATGTACAGCACAGTACAGTATATGTAACTAATAACTTTTTATGTCTTAACACTTGTGATGGAGGTGTGGTAGGGGATTATTGGGTTTCATGTCACTGACCTGACCTAATGCATTGTCAGGTCACCCATTGTATATCAGTCATTATTTGTGGATCATAGGAATAGACACTTGCCATTTTGAAATGCACAGTATTTATTATCTTTGATCATTAGTAGTACAGTATTATCAATTAAACATTTCACTAGTAGCATAATCAATGAATAAGCTCTTCTTTTATTTGTGGTGGAGGTGGGGTGGGTGGGTGGGTCTCACATTATTTGCCTGACCTGACCTAAAGATGTCTTGAATAAAGATGAAAGGTAAGGTGTTCCAGTCTTTCCATTTTCATGTGCAGTTGCCAGCAAAAGTTCTCCCACAGCCCTGTGTAGCAAGTTGTGGGAAGAATTTTGCTGGCAACTGTACATACGGCACTTTCACACTTAGTGAATGTACAGTGCAGTACATTATACATAACTGGAATTACTTTTGACATCTTAGCATTGTATTTTTGCTGATTGTATCCTGGTACATACAGCACTGCACAACAGTAATTGTACACCTTGTATACAATGGCAGCAGAATATGAAATATGGGTGCAAGTTACCCAAGCAGCTAGCCCACCCATGCACTTGGCAGGTGGGGATATGTCAGAGGATGATGCAATATCTTGGAATTTCCCCATCGGATTTTGGTTGTGTTTACTGGGTTGGCGATACACTTGTCTGGTGCTGGACCCCAGTCTTGCATACAAGGGGATCCAGATTAAATGAGTGCAGGTTGTAGGGAGTTTACCGTATTGAATGTGGAATCACTGAGGTTGTGCCTCACAACAGAAATTTTATCAAACACAACATTAACTGATGAAGGGAAATATAGAAAGTCTTTTGAGGAAAATATTGCACTACCAACCACCATCCAAGTGCTGCTACAAGATGCAGTATAACATGCCATTTCTACCGACCCTCAAAATATTCGGTAGAACATGATTAATCTTCCATAATTAATAGTGGCTCCAAAACTGTGTATGCTTAGCCTGACAAAATTGCTATTCCCTGGAGACTTCCTGTAAATCTATACACTCTTAGTAACCAGAGTGTTTTGTTCATCTCATACATATCTTTGTGGCAAATCTCAGGCTTTTCAAACCATGGTTGAATTGACATTTTAGGTAGAGACAGTAATTTTTCATAGTAAAAGGCTTTTATTTTTACCATCTCTTTATTTCAGATTTTGTCGACCACTACAATGGCAGATACTATGTAGGAGTTAGTGCAAGAGTTCGGGTGCAGCTGAAAGATGGAGCTTTTCATGAGGACATTGGCTATGGTGTTTGTGAGGGAATGAAGAGTAAAGCACTGTCACTAGAAAAGGCTCGTAAGGTTAGTGTTTCAGCAGAGGATATGCCATACTCTATATACAGTACAGTATTTGTTTTGTTTTTTCTCTCAAGATCACAATTTTGGCAACAGTATCACAAACACAAATTGATTGTTATTTAATTTACTTATTAGATACCATAATTAAGAAAATAGCATTGCCTACATACAGTATTTTAAATACAAAAAAGTACACTAATTACAGTCTATTAAGAAGTTGAGAGTTCCCTGAAAGATAGCTAAATGGATTGATTAAAATACAGTATTTTCTCGATTTAACAAACTACAGTAATTCGAGCCACTCCTGTTCATTAAATTGAAATTTCCACTAAATTGAGCTTTCCGCTGCTCATTCTGTGTCCTGCTGTTACCGCATGTGTTGTTCACTGCTACCTCTCGGTCAACTAAGTGTACACTGGAACACCTTAGCTTTCGTCTTTATTCAAGACATCTTCAGGGGCAACTGAATTTACAGGGATGGAATGTCAGGTCACTCTTTCTTGGGTGGGGGATTAGTGGGTCTCATGAACCTGAAGATGTCTTGAATAAAGACAAAGCTAAAGTATTTTTAGGGAGATTGTGATAAGTATAAGTGAGCTAAGTTGTATCCCTTCAATATTGTTACACAACTCTCAAACCAGATCTGTTTCTAGAGCTGATATCGTTTCTTCTATCAATGTGGATCCGTGCAGCACCTCCGAATGGGGAGGTAGAAATTTGGTTAAATTCAATTGTAATAAAACACAGTATTTACCAATTACACTTTCCAAAATAGAAGATCTTTCACCAATCACACTTCAGGTTGCAGTCATTCTGCCAAATTCTAAAATAGATATGCTAGGCCTCACCATTTCCTCTAATATGTCATGGAAGCCACACATCCACAACATTAGTCCTAACGTGGAGTACTGCTCTCTTATCTGGGGTGGCTCCTCTTCTGTCCAACTGTTGGATAGGGTGGAATCAAAGGCATTTCGTCTTATTAACTCTCCTCCTTTAGTCGATAATCTCTCTTCCCTTTCTCTTCGCTGCAATGTTGCTTAACTCTGTCTCTTTTACAGGTACTTTAACAGGCAATGTTCGATGGATTGGGCATCCTGTGTACCGCCGGCAAGGCAGTGGGCTAGTAACACTTGTATTGCTCGCGGTGTTTACCGTTTCTTCGTGGATATTGGTCACCCTAGAATAACCTGTTATAGTACATCCTTCTTTCCTTACACAGCCAAATTGGGGAATGCTCTGCCTTCTGTGTTTCCATACTCTTACAATCTGTCTCACTTCAAAAACTGGTTTTCCGGCATCTTTGTGGTGTAGATTAATATACAGCTCCTCCCCGACTTATGGCGGGGTTAGGGACCCAAATCCAGGTCGTAAGTCGAAAATGCTTAAATAATACATAGAAAGTCTAAAATGGGTGTCTCTTTTTCTTCTCAGCACCACAAAACTCTCACTTTTAAGCTTGCCAGCCATTTTATAGTGAATTACAAAAAAAATTTTTCTCTGTGTACTGACGTTGGGACTCAAAAATACTTAATTTGACAAAATTTTGGTACGACTGAGGCAGGTCGTAAATGCAGGTGGTCATAAGTCAAGTAGGTCGTAAGTCGGGGAGCAGCTGTAGTCTTTTTCTCTTCTATTTTTAATTTCTTTTTTACTCTTATTTTTTTTGTCCCCCAGGACCCGTTGTGTGTTGATGACCTGTACCCGGGTGGGCTATTCCCCGTAAAAAAAAAAAAAGTTACCTCAAATCTTAGGTTTAATTTCATCGACAAAAATTTCCAAAGCTATGTGAAAACAATAATGATATTGATATAAATTAATATAAATACAGTAATGATAATCAATGTACAGTACTGTACTTCATTAGGTTTTTTATTTAATCGGGCAATAATAATTTTTTCCATGATGCGAGTTGGTGTTAGGAAGGTCATCCAGCTGTAAAACATTGCTGCAATGTGCCTGATGGCAAGCAGGTCACCAGAGCTGTGCCCATACCTTTGTCTCTGCTGCATATACTGCATTGGTGTCCTGGGTTTGTGGTGGTAAGCGGGGGATTCTGTTTTGGTTTTACCCAATCGCTGCCATCAGGTGATTGCTGCTAACCCACACAAATGTGGAAAATGGCCTTAAAACATTTATGGTGTATGAACTCTACTTCTAGTAAATGTCAAGACTCACTAGGAGCTTTAACAAACCCATTAAACTCACTTTTAGGAAACTCATAACTTCTAAATACTGTATACAATATTTAATTATTCTTTTTATTTATAGTACTGTATGCACACAATAATGTTTTCTTTATTTTATTATATAAGAAATAAAACAAACATTCAGCTGAGTTTGTGTAAGTGTGTGGAAGCAGAACTTGAAGTACTCTACTGGTTGGTTAGGTTCAGCCTTGGTCCCAAGGGTCCCAGATTTGAGGGTCTGTACTTGTGAGAAACTGTTGAGCAGATGTTGCATTTTATTGAGTACTGTACAAGGTCATAAAATCATAGGGCAAGCACTGACTCCCACTAAACCAGTTAACAGTTGTAAGCATTGAGTGCATGTGTAGAGGGACATTCCAAAGTAGTGCATGGTGATTTTGCATTTTGTATGGCAGGAAAATTTCATTATTCGACTGAGAGGTGCCTGAACCAAGCACGTTTGGAAACGTGAATATGTACTGTACTGTACTGTACTGTACTGTGTGAAAATCATGATGTATCACTTTTAGAGTCAGCCAAAAATGTTCCTCCAGTACTAGTAAGCTTGTAAATATCATGTCTTTCCATCCAATAGAGAATTCACAGGATTCCAGAGTATAAATTCTGGCTTCATAAAGATGCTAACGTCCACATTCTTGTACATTACAATTCGTTAGCTAATAACATTTTGCAGTGTTTATATCCTGTAGTCAATTTCTACAGAAATTCTTTAACCCTCCTGTTAAAGGGATGGCTTTGAGTTTTAATATGGACACTCTCTCAACATAGGAAGCAGTGACTGATGGTTTAAAGAGGGCTCTGAAAAGCTTTGGAAATGCCCTTGGGAACTGCCTCAGTAACAAGGATTATCTACGCTTTATTGGCAAAGCTCCAGCTGCCCCTGTACCAGGTATTAATTCCAAAGATCTGCTGCACCAAGATGTTCACACAGGTCTTGCACAGACACGTAAACGAGTCTTGGACGAGAGTCGTGGAAAGAGACAGGTATGAGTTACCTATTTAAATAATTTTGATGCTATCATATAGTTTACACCTAAAAAAATTGCAAGCATGTTCTAGATGTTCAATAGATTAATATTTATACAAAGTATTGAAACATTAATTTTAATAGCACCAGTATTTCATTTGGTAAAAAATTTTCTCATGTAAGGAATTACCGTATGAAAAGGCTAAAAGGAAACAAGAAGCACTGGACTTAATAATTTCATCAGAAATTCTGCAGTACAAAAATACAGTACATTGAAATATCACAACCAAAACTAACCATACTATCACTAATATAAGCTAACCAACATATTACAGCCTCTGAGGTGCACTCATCAACTCTTATGCAATCAGGCTAACCACTCACAGTGACCACTGGTACTTATCAAACATTTAGTTAAACATCCATTGCATCTCAAGCCCCTTAATTGGAGTCTTGGAAACAAAAGTCACCATTCATGGTCAAGAGAGCCAAATGAGTCCTGGTGCTACAGCAGCTTATAGAGTGCAACTTCCTGCCCTTGTCTGTCATTTGCTATCTTCAGATTTTATAGGAAACTTGACTATAAAATGGTTATACACTGGATATCTCTGCTTTATAATTACGTATACAGTAGAACCAAATTGAGCTTACATCCCATATATAGTGTCACACTTTGGGAGGTTGACAGCGTTACCAAGCAGGTCTTGCATTATTAGCTTAGTAAACATATCCCACTGTCCAGCAGATTTGTTTGAGCATAATCTTCATACTTACCCCCTTGTCTGCCATATGATTATTCTCTCACACTGTGTCTTCACCTTCCTCTTGTTCTGTTTCTTCACTTACATCCATTATCTGCATAGTATGTCTTAATCCATCTTGGTGTTCAATTTTTATGCTCGTGATCAAAAGTAGGGGGATAAACGAGTAGTACTGTCAGTCCATACATCTTTTTATCAGTCCTTCTATCTGTGAGAAATTTTATTTCAATATATCTACTTGTGGGGGGTTCCCTTTCTGCTGAATAAAACCACCTGGTGTTAACAAACAAAATACTATAATAAAAGTGGCATCCCTGTAGTGAAGGGGTTAATAAGTTCCCAAAGGCTCAGTACATTAATTTTAATTATGGTGTGAAAGTACATACAGTGCAATTCCTTTTATCCGAATCTTTCAGGTATCCAAACTTTTGTCCCCATTGGTCCTGTTTGATTAAAATTTTGATTTAGTCCAACAGTCCAAATGCAACTCAAGTCATTCCCTTGTATGTCTGCCACCAGTGTTGCTGTAACCTCTTTGTTTATTAGTGTGCCGGGCTTAAACCATCATCTGGGCTATGCTACACAGTTCAACCGAGCAGTCAACCAGCTGACTCCTAGACATGTGTGTGTGTGTGTGCCATGACATTGCATCGGGGTGAGTTGGTAGTACAGTTACAGCCTATTGCCTCCACTAGTCCACTCATACGTTCACTTCCCACACATACACACCCGTGCTCTTCATTTTTTCATGTTTTGTAGTTTTATATTATATTTTCTTTGTTTCTAAACCACATTAGGGTACTGTATTGTAAAGATTATTCCCTAACTTTTATAGTTCCATTACAGTAAGTTTTCCTGTAGCACAACTTTTCACTGTGCGATTTGACTATAGCATGATAAATTTAGTAGGGGACACCTTTTCCATAGCGACTGCAATTTGACTATAATGTGATTTGAGAAAATGTTTGTCATAGACCAAAGCGGTTATGCAGTCGCCTGAGGTTTAGCACTACACTAGGGGATGCGGTGTACCCACGCACTCTCCCAGCAGTATTGTTTAAATTTCTTCAGCATCGGACATGCGATCGTGGACATTACTTATGCTTACTAACTTTTTTGCTTTGTGACAATGAGTGACAAGAGTGTTAAGCGTTATGGTCCTGGTGGTAGTGTTCAACAAGTGATACAAAGAAAAGCTATAATGCTTGAGCAGAAATTAGATGTTATGAGTGAAGTGAAAGGACACGCAACATTATCAAAGACACCGGACTTACTGAATCCACGCTCCGCACTATTCTTGGAAATGTAAAAAAAATTAAGGCAAGTTGTACTGCTGCAACACAAATTAGTGCAAGTTGGAGTATTAGGGGAAGGCCCAAGATAATTGAAGACCTTGGAAACTTCTCAGTTTGTGGATAGAGATCCAGACTAAGGTACGATCAGAGACAAGTTTCTTAACCATTAAAGAAAAAGGAATTAAGATCAAAGTGTGAGCCTGAAGATATTCAACCATTTACTGCAAGCAGTGGGGGGTTTGCATGGTTCAAGGGCCTCTTCAACTTGCATAATGTTAAGTGGAGAAGCTGCGAACACAGACAATGCCACAGTCACCAGTCTACATTGGAAAAGGATACCTTCCAGGACCTATATCTCTAAGGACAAGGTCAAAGCTCCAGGGTTCAAGGCAGCCAAGGACCGATTCACCGTCATGCTGGGAGCCTAAGTTATTGGCGATTATGGGCTGAAACATGTGCTCATGTATCACTCGGCAAACCCACGTGTACTCAAGGGTTTCATTAGGGCAAACATTCATTTATGATTCTGCAAGAAAGGTTGGATGACTGATCAAATTTTTAGTGACTATTTGTTGGAAACTCTTCATGCTGACCTTCAAAATTGTAGTCAGAAGAAAAATCAAGACTTAAAGATTAAATTACTTCTAGACAACACTCCCAACTATCCATCTTTTGCTACTGATATAAGTGAAAATATTTGCCACCAAACACAACCTCTTTGTTGCAGCCAATGGACCAAAGACTGATTGCTGTCTTCAAAGCCTACTATCTCAGGCGCACCTTTGCCAAGTTGATAAAGGCAACTGACGGAGACAATGAGCCCAGTGTGAGGGAGCTCTGGAAGTTTTTCAACAGGAAGAATGCAATTGACATCATGTTTTTCATGACTTTTGGGGCTTGTGGGGCAGTCTGAACAATTGCAGTAATTCCAATGCCAGTGTGTAGCCCTAGCAGGACAAGAAGGATTTAATGAAGTGGAGGAAGGAGATGTTGAGGAGCTGCTGGAGTCCCATAGGGAGAAACTTTAAATGGAAGAATTTCAACAATTGGCTGTGAGGCAATTGCAGGATGTGAGGATGATGTAGATGATGCTGAAGAACCACCACCACATGAATTCACAACAGCACTGTGTTGATTGTCTAAGGAGTAAAGGCTCAGCTGGCACCCTACTTGGAACCCAACGAAAAAAAAAATGGCAGACCACACAGAAGAAAATCCATCAATATATTGTTCAAAATCAATCAATAATCTTGCAGAATCAGTGGCATGAACATCAATGGGTGGTTCAACATTTTTTCATGCACGTATTCCCCCGCCACCATCTTCCTCTACACTCCAGTCGCTTAAACACTTGCCGTCATCATCAGATTGATCCAGCTCCTCCATCACCTCCATCATTTGCCTCAAGCAGCTATCTTCTCTTCTTGTGGTGAGTGTTAAAACATTTTTAAAGGCTTATTTACATTTTTTATGGTTAATGTTTTAATTTAAAAAGGTTTTATCACTGAAAGTGTTTACTCAAGCCCACCGTCCTTCGTGGCTACGTGTTCTACTGATTAGCGACGTAGACTAGCACACTGTAACTCATATATTTTACAGTACAGCACTGTGTTAAAGAATGCACACACTTATTTTAAAATCAAACAACAATTAATAATAATATGAGAATAAAGGTGAAAAGTGGGTCCCATGTTGGTGTTCTTAAACCTACTACTGTACTCCTTAACCCCTTAATTCCCATTGAAACATTGGCTACTATAACGCGATTTTTTTATACCGCAGTGTTTTTCGGGAATGCAACTGTTGTGTTATTGGAGTACTGACTGTACATGTAACAATGGCAACATGCCATCTCACAGGCCACCACCATCCCCAGTTTTTTCCCCCTTCCCAGTGGGTCAAGCTGTCGCTGAACCGAATTTTGACCTAACATAAATTATTGCATGCTCTTGTGTAGGTATCTGAACCATCATTAGTCCTGATGAGTTCAGGTAAAAGGAATTGCACTGTACCGGGTAATAGTCTAAATAATTTTAGGTGGTTTGGGGAGCTGCATCATTTCCAGTTTTTCTTGTTTATTTTTGGGCGACATTTTGCATTTTGGATTAAAGAAAAAGTTACTTTGCTTAAGCATTGGATGTGGTTTATTTTTGATTGACTGAGTTTGATTTCCATATTTTCCAGCTGAATTCTTATGTCTGATCAAATATCAGTGGATGAGAGGTGAACTGTTAAGTAATTCTGTAGTTGTGTAGATTTACTCTATCTCAGATGTTGATTTACATTACCTGACTCAACTAGAGTTAGGATAAGTAGGTTTATTATAGACATGTAAATTTCTCCTTTTTTGTTTTAACAGTTGATTACGAATGATCTTCCCCTATATTAAGCAGTTTTGTGAAAAATAACGCTACAGTGAAAAACTAGTGGCAAAATTGTTAGGAAATTTTAATTTTTAGTATAGTATAAAGTATTGACAAGTACAACATGCTTGAAGGAACACTTGCCTGAATGTTGGATCAAGCATGGTGGTGGGGGGAGAGACTCATTCCTTGGCTACACAATCACCTGATCTGAGTCCCCTTGAATTTTTTCCTTTGGAAAATATGAAGGAAAGGATACGTGAGGCTGTTAGAAAAGTTCAGGATGTTATGGTGCAAATGTATGAAGGGAAACAGTACCCTCTTTCTGTTGGCATAACCACAAGAGGAACTCATATTAACCCTTGTACTTGTATACTGGGTGTTCTCTGAGCTGAATAAAATCATCTGGCATTAGCCAAATAAAATATTAAAAATGCTGTCTTCATAGTGAAGAGGTTAAATTTCTATAGGTTGAAAATAATATATATTTTTTTATTTATTAAAATATTTTAGTTTTAGTTGTAGCTTTTATATTTATTTATTTTTTTAAATTACAGTAAATGTATAAAATTGGGAGCTCATTGTAATCACCCATTATTATGTTCACTGTTCCTGGTAAGCTTCATGTACCTGTTCTGTACAGTACTGTAGTGGGGGAGGCAATATCATCGACAGCTAGTGTTTGTTTTATGAATCAAAGGCCAGGTTAATTTAATTGTGCACAATATAACAAAGTGATCCTTTTTCAGAACTGTCAGGTTAGTGGTTCAAGAGCAACAAAAGAGCACATTCCCAGCATGTCAGACACTACTCCAGGTGAAGTCAGTAATATCTCATCCCATACAGGACTATCAAACAGTGAACTTAATAATGCAGAAGTATCACTTAATGATGTCAAGGCATCTTCACAAATGAGAAACGGTAATAAAGTACCAAAACTTATTGTGAAACTTGAAAGAATGGAAAAGTCAATCAGTACAGAGAAGCAATATTTAATACATAACCAAAGTTTACCTCTAAAAAAAAATTCTGGTTCCCCTTCAGTATTAAATAACAGTCTTCCGCTAACTAAAAAAAATGAACCCCCAGTAGAGAATCTAAGTCTTCATAAACGTAAAACTTCAAGTTTATCTGTACAAGCAGAGTGTTCATTGATCAAGAATAAATCTTGTGATATCAGTAAAATTTCATCTCCCTCAGTACTAAATAAAAGCACACCCTTAAATGAACCAACTGTGGATGAAGTAAAATCTTCAGTAAAGGACACTTCACAAGGTACAGTAGCTGGTGACCCTGCTGAGGCATCACTGAAACTCACCATTCAGCAGGTAACAGACTGTACCAATAATTATCTCAAGAATATGACAGGACTTAAAGAAATAACAAAGGAAAGAGAAAATTCACCTAACTCATTTATTGGTTTTACCAAAGATATGATTGTACACTCTCCAATATCAAAGTCCAACAGTAACGAAGTGGATGAATATAAGAGTGAAAGAAAGAGGAGACAGAGAGAAAAACAACAAGCGTTTAAGATGAAAATGAAAGATAGACATCCTTCTGTCAATCCATCTCATGGGACGACACCGAACAAGCCTGACACGGCATCAGAAGCAAGTTTATTTGACAACGGGGACGACGTAGTTGGAGAAGGTTAGTGTCTGATTTTATCTGTCTGTAAGATGTAAGAAATTAGTTTTTATTACTTGTTTATATTTAGAACTTTGTGACATAGATTGGATTATGGACACCTTCAAGAATAACACCTGTATTACTTATGTTATGGTAGTACAGTTGAGTCTGGATTTACGCGGTTTTGGTTTACGCGTTTTGACATTTACACGGTGCCTTGCCAGAATTGAAATGCTTGATTTACGCGGCAAATTTGGTCATTTACGCGGGAAGCGGCGCAGGCAGGGTGCACACAAGGTCGCCCAGTCATCAAAACATTACTGAGTTCTTCACCCGCCACCCACCACAGCCAGCCCAAGTCAGTGATAGTAAGGATATGGACTTATATGGACTTTGAGGGGTTTGACAAAGAGGCCCTGCAAGCCTCTGTGGTGGATAGTGATACAATTGATACAAGTGATACAGGTGACGGCCAATAATCTGCCCTCTGCCTCGGAACCAACCCCCCATCCCCGTGTGCCCAGCCATCTTTTCTATGAATGTAAGTGTTAAAAAACCTAATATTATTGATATTTCTCTTAATTATTAATTGTGTGTGCATACCATCATAAAATTAAGATGTTATTTTGACTACAAGGTACGTATTGTGTCGGAATAAGTGGAGTTTGGGGGTCGGCCCAGTCTCTATTTCAATTAATCCCATATGTTCTGTTATTTCATTTACGCGTTTCTCGTTTTACGCGGTACTCTTTGGGTTCAATTGACCGCGTAAATGAAGACCCAACTGTACAGGTACAAAACCTCAATTCTGAATTTCAGAAAACCAGAGAACTTTGAACACCGGACAGTTCCTTTCCTGGGTTGGGTTAAATTTCTTCCTTAGAGTTGTCCATCTGTTACCTTAGGTCTACCAGCAGGCCACATAAACTTAGTTGAGCTCAGGTTTTACTTCTTGTCAGTTGTGAGACTTGGCAACACCACCCTCACCCCCCAACACCACCCTCACCCTCCAACACCACCCTCATCCTCCAACACCACCCCACCTCCAACACCACCTCACCCTCCAACACCACCCCACCACCCCAACCCCACCCACCCCAACACCACCCCACCTCCAACACCACCCTCACCTCCACACCCCCACCCTCCAACACCCCACCCCACCCCAACACCACCTCACCCCACCTCCAACACCACCCCACCCCCAACACCACCTCCCACCCCAACACCACCCACACCCTCCAACACCACCACCTCACCCCAACACCACCTCACCTCCAACACCAATTCACCCTCCACCACCAACCTCCATCACCACCCCACCCCAACACCACCTCACCTCCAACACCACCTCACCTCACCCCCACACCACCTCACCCCCAACACCCACCTCACCCTCCAACACCACCTCACCCTCCAACAAATCTCACCCCCCAACACCACACCTCATCACATCAACCACACCCCAACATCACACACACACACACACCCCCAACATCACCTGCATACATACTCTCCAACAACCACTCACACACACTCCAACACCTCTCACACACCCCCAACAGAGGAATGAAGACAGCAAGCATGAGAAATGAGGGTCTTATGTATGTGTGACTCTGTGGTACTGAGTTATATATCAGCTCTTGAGGAGCACTTGGCAACACTCCTTTCCACTCCATCTCTTTAATTACTCACACCTTTCTGCTTTCTCATCCCATATTTTAAAATGTTATGTAACTTAATGTTGAAGGGATACAACTTTGCTCATTTATACTTATCACAATCTCCCTAAAAATACTTTAGCCTTCGTGTTTATTCAAGACATCTTCAGGTCATGAGACCCATTAATCTCCCACCCAACAACGGGTGACCTGACATTCCATCAAAAGGTCAGTAACATTAGACCACTAATCCCCCACCTGACATTGCATCAGGTCATGTCAGTTACATGAAAACCATTAATCCCCCACAGCTCCATGGGAGTGGAAAAGTACCTGTCTTTGCTATAATATACAACTTCATTTATGCCGGCACCCCCTGTAGTCAGGACAAAATTACGAGAGGACACCTAACTTCCCTCCCAGCCAGGGAGAAGGTACTTTTAGACTTAAAGTTTTTATCTTATAAAATGTCACAGACTTACTTAGCAGAATTTAACTTGCATTGCTGGAATCCTTGTAAGATAGTGATTAATCTGAGTACACCACATAGTTTGCACAAGAGATAAACATTTTAGTTCTTTAGTTTAGTACATTTGAGTTCAAGTTTTTCAACTCATATTTTCGGGTAGATATACTGTATGTAACTTCATTTATTTTTATTCATTTACATGCACACACCATCCTAAATACATATTATGAAAAAAGTAAAAGAAATAATTGAGCTAAGGGCAAATTTGTACAGTACTCAAATGTGCTAAATAATTACTAAATTTTATATGTCTAGTGCAAACTATGTGATGCTTATACTCAAATTAATCACTGTCTTACAAGAATTCCAGCAATGTAAGTTATATTCTGCCAAGTCAATTCAGTGACATTTTATGAAAAATTTTTTTTAAGGGAAGTGGGGTAGTGTCTGTCTGTGCACGACGTCTAGTTTAGTTACTCGGAAACTTTTCCCAGTAACCAGAAAAGATACCGGGATAAGGAATTTTTCTGGGTTGAGAAAGTCGTCTGGTCAGCCGGAAATCTTTCATCCGTGGAAGTGCACGGTGCCAATTGTTCCGGCTAACAGGGGATATCACTGTGTACAGCTCCTCCCCGACTTATGATGGGGTTAGGGACCCAAATCCAGGTCGTAAGTTGAAAATGCTTAAATAATACTTATAAAATCTAAAATGGGTGTCTCTTTTTCTTCTCAGTACCACAAAACTCTCACTTTTGAGCTTGCCAGCCATTTTAAAGTGAAGTACAAACGAAAAAATTTTCAGTACATAGCGCAATCACTGACTTTGGGACTCGAAAATACGTAATTTGACAAAATTTTGGTACGACTGAGGCAGGTCGTCAGTGGGGGTGGTCGTAAGTCGGGGAGGAGCTGTATATACTGTACAGTTAACCCTCGAAGATTCGGAACCGGTAAATCTGGATTTCAGGAGATTCTGAAAAAAATTTGGGGGTTCTGGGCTAAGAAGCATTCCCAAAACAGAGCACAGAACATTTTAGGCCCGTGGGTGCTGGTTGACTAGTCATTCGCGCTGGACACAGGTGCCTGAGGAGGTGGGAAACATAAACAGTTGACAATTGTTGTTTGTGGAATATTATTTCATTCACTCTAGTAATGATACAATGTTTCTGATTATGTTATCGTAGGTAAATGCATGGTTTTATAATTTGTTTATCACTGTGCCCGTCACAGTTTTCAAATTAGACTAAGAGATATGTATTTCTCCCATACTTATTTCGATCGTATGCCTGGCAATTGGTGCGGGTAAGAGGAGTAAGTTGAGTGTCGTCTGCACTTAACTCACCTCCCTCCTTGCCATATATCACTGGATTTACTGTTATTATTAGTGTTTACTGATATAATGATGCTTATCAGTGATTAATCATGGCAGTGTAGCGAGGTTAGACTCGTCACTGCTACCACCAGGCTACTGGAACAACCTGTGAGGTGTTACGGTTGTTTTTAACTTGTATTTTCGGGTAGATATACGTAACTTTCTTCATTTATTTTTACTCATTTACATGCACACACCATCCTAAATACATATTGTGAAAAAGTAAATGAAATACTATGCAGTATAGTACTGTATACTGTATGGGTGACCTGATATTGCATCAGGTCAGGTCAGTAACATAACCCACAAATCTCCCACCCAACCTCCATCTCAAGTGTTAAGAAGTGATTAGAGTCAGCTGAGTGAACAATGTCTGCTGGTGAGTACAGTATATACAGTGTAGTAGTACAGTAGTATACATTATTTTGTTTTACAGGATGAACAATACCGTACGTGTACAGTGGTGTTTGCATAAATAAATACAGCTCGTGCGAGTTGCATCATTAGATTCATGGAAATTTTCCTGTGAAGCGTGGAAAATAACCAGAGTCGATTAACGTCTTCAGAGGCAGCTAAGCAGTAACCATTTCTGGACTCTGGACTGTTGTTATGGTTGTTTTTAATTTTGTATTTTTGCATAGATACTGTATACCTAACAGTCTTCATTTATTTTTACTCAGTTACATGCGCACACCATCCTACATGCATATTGCAAAAAAGTAAAAGAAAATATGGTCCTAAGGGCAAACACATAAAAGGAATATACATTTCTTTGCTCACAAGTTAGCTGTCTCAATGGGGGAAGCGGGAGGAGGCGGGACGTGTGGGTGGGAATCTGTGGAAATAGCGTCTGCATTGCTATGGTGAACCAGGAGGTATAGGCAAATGGCGACTGTTAAACTTTCATTTGGTTTTTATTTATTGGTTTGGCAATACAATATTTTTTGTTGTTAATTATTTATTGGTATTATTTTTATTTATTCCTCACATTTACTGGTACAGCACTGTCTATATATATTAGAGAACTATGGCTACAGGAGCAAATCCACACAAAAGTTTTCTAAATACTCCATGCTAAAATGGAATATATATATATATATATTGATAAAATCACACGGGAAACGGGGAACAACGGAGCACCTCAGCTTTCGTCTTTATTCAAGACATCAAGATTTATCTTATCCACATTTTCATTGTGGACCTACATGAAATATATATATACCTGTATATATATATATATATATATATATATATATATATATATATATATATATATATATATATATATATATATATATATATATATATATATATATATATATATATACATACATACAGTGAACCCTCACTTTACGCTGTTAATTCAACCCACGGCGGCCCGCGTAAAGTGAACAACATAACATATGGGATTAATTGAAATAGAGACCGGGCCGACCCCTAAACTCCACTTTTTCAGACACAATACCTACGTTGTAGTAAAAATAACTTCTTAATTTTATGATGGTATGCACACACAATTAATAATTAAGAGAAATATCAATAATATTAGGTTTTTTAACACTTACATTAGTAGAGAAGATGGCTGGGCACACGGGAACGGATTGAGTTCGTTAAACGAGGGGTCACTGTAGTTTAATATTTATCATTCATTAGGTAGTTTTTTCTGTTGTTCATCAATCATTTTCATTGTTTTTGGGTGACAAAGCCCTAATTTTCCCATGTTCTTTTATTTACTATATGAAAATTCATTTAATAAATGGTTACTCAGTAATCTAACCCATTTGTATAGTGAGGCATACCTGAATGGGATTTCAGGAGCACTTCCCCATTTTTATGCAAATCTTTGAACAATTTAAATAAAATTGTTTAATTGTCGTTTTTTTAGCTGTTTGGATTTTCCTGTTGATTTATTTATTTATTTTAGAATATAGTACATCATTAGCTCAAACACTCTGGGTAGCTTCAAATATAGGTTGGATGGATATAGCAGCGATAGGTGTTGGGTGTTAACGGGACTGCCTAGTATGGGCCAATAGGTTTGCTGCAGTTTCCGCCCTTTTTAAGTTCTGATGTAAATTTTATCGCCAATTCAATTATCACTGCATGTTTTGCTATACCGCAGTGCAACCTAAGACAAAAATTCAAACCATGCACAAGAATTTCAACTGTGCACAAATTAACAAAAACTTCTGGATACAGTATTCTACACAGGCTCGAAGAGAATGAGTCTACTACTGAAACAGCCATTGTGTTGAGCCTTAAGTATGTAAAGTCTGCTGCCTTCCATGATCTTGTCCAATAAGGATGCCAGTGGTTTTGTCTAAATCACTTATATAGTAAGGGAGTACAAATCACACTGATGATATGCCCTGAATAAAGTAGATACTATAGTTATGAAGCTGAGATTTGTTAAATAGTTCTTTTACTTTTGAATCCAGGCCATATAATTCATCCTACTGAGTTGGTACTGGAGCAAAGTTGATCAACAGATAAAATTTGTCATGAACATTTTCTTGATTTTATATTTTTTTCACAGATGATCCAGCATTTTGGGCTCAGCTAATGACACAACAACTCATGGAAGCCAGACAAGAAGAAAAACAGACAGAGTCATTCGCTTACTCTTTAGGTCTTGCTCCCTCGCGTACCAAAGAAAAATATGAAAATCAACACTCCAACATTGGTTTTGTGGGAAGAGCTTCCACCTCTGCTGCTCATGGTCTTATTGCAGGTCTTAACGACAGAAATTTAGTAAAAAGTGGCGATAGCAGTTCAGTTAATCAACAAAATGGCAATTTTGTTGCTAAAAATGTATTTACATCATCATTTAAAAGTACTAACTCTAGTGTAAGACCTGGTGACACCACTTTACCTGTTGCAGACAGTTTTGGGAACAAGAGTGATGTAACTGGAAAATCAATAATGAATGAAAATGTTCAAATTAAAATGGAAAAGCAACATTACGTTGAAAAACTAGCTCAAGGCAGTTACAATTCCTTGTACAGCGATGGAGAAGATTCATCCGTCTGGCGTTCACCTCGCACCAACAAGGGAAATACACACAAATATGAGGACTTTAAATTACCATTGACTAGAAACAATGGACATAATGATGGAAGATCAAGTCCAGTTTTCTCAAAGAAACGGAAAACAGAGGGAAGTGTGTGAAATATTGTATTGGATCTGTTTTTAGTACCGCTTACCATATATGGAAGAGAAATCATTCTTACATAGATAGTCTAGTTTCATTTAAGATGGAAAAACATTTTTAATTGCTCTGTTTAACGAGCTGTTTACAGTACACAAGTATTTTTATGCATTAAATCATGATCATTTAGCAACACAATTTTTAAAATGTGTGAAAACTTATCAGGTTTGTAATTAGCATTTGAGGTGACCATAAGGGTTATGTAACCATATTACTGCATATTCACTAACCATATTAAGTTTACATTTTAAGTACAGGACAGTATTGTATCCATTTTGTGAATCATATACATCTTTTATTTATAAAATTTGTAATTAAGGTAGAAATCTAGTATACAACTGATTTTTTTCAGTTGAACCTATGAAATTACTTACTTTCAAAGTTGAGCTTTTATCACCCAAGTAAAGTACAGTAAGTGAATCAAAGTACAGTAAATAGTAAGGTGTGAGATGCTTGTTAGTTAATTTTTAGTTTTCAGGAAAGTGTAGTTGGCACAGTTATTGTAATACAAACATTTTGTAATGACTTAGAAAAATGTACCTGAGACCATCTCACCTCTTGTCTAGTCATAAGGATGTTAAAAAATTTGTTTTAGACAACTCCACAAGGAAGGCTTTCATAGTGTTTTTAATTAGCAAAAATTTTTTTTTCATTGTGCTCATGTAATTGTGAATTAAAGTGATTTTAATAATCTTGGTATTTTTAATAGCATTTTTCGGTTTGCAAGGCATTGAGCAACCTGCAGAATTACCCGCCTGAGTACTCATTGTTTACAAGTTTGTAGTTCTTTATAGTAATGATTGTGTCAAAAGTATGTAAGCCTATTAAAATCAAGGAAAATTTAATTAACACTTAAGTTTCATACTATATAATATTATGGTTGAATTTTTTTTTAGTTTCTTTCACTTTATTGAAGTAGAACTATTTGTTACAAGTGTTCACACAACCATGCTGTTTATGCAAGTTACATTTACTTGCTCATTAAGATAATGGAAGGCTACACACCTCCATGGCAGAATATGTTGGTTAATGTGACTTGACTAACACAGGATGAGCAGCAACTGTAATAAAACCACAAAAGATGGGGCTTTCACAAGTAAGGTGAACAGAAACATGAAGGAATTGGTATCAAAGAATCATTGGATATGACAGCACAGAATATGACAGTACAGAGAAGTTCCAGCTGTTCTAGTTGCAACCGATTTACCAGACATATTGATCAACTTTTAAGTAACCAATCTGACTACCAATATAAAGAAACATTAACACGAAAAAAAAAAAGCAAACATCCATGATACTTATGTCCTGACAATTGTGCTGTTATCTAACCTCACAGTCTACTACAACAGGAAATAAACAAAGAGCATTCTCTGGTCCTAGATAGATGATGGTAATACTAAATTACTTGCACTAAATCTTGAAATGCAAAAGAATATATATATATATATATATATATATATATATATATATATATATATATATATATATATATATATATATATATATATATATATATATATATATATATATATATATATATATATATATATATCTCCTTATGCAGTTGAACTCGATATGAAGGGTAAATTGTTGAAGCCTATCATTTATATTTTATACACAACAAATCCTGCATAATACTTTTAAAATATTTCTTTGATGTATCATATTATTACACAAACTAGGCTATTCAATAGTTGTGATTATAAATAGTTGTCCAAAACCGATGTCTCCACCAACATCACAGTTTAAGGATTGTAATTCAAGAAAAAAAAATAAAATAAAAAAGATTATACAAAAGGGGGGCAGTACTAAAGCAGCAAGAATGGCAACATAGAAATGCATAAGCTTAGTGGAGGCATAGGCTGGAAAACATGACTTAAGAATGTTGACCCATGATATGAAATGATTTCCACACCCATTTCATGTCACAATAATCTGAAATTTAGGGCCAAAAATTTCATTCACATAATAGTATTCATACATTAATTGCCTTACACTTGAAATGGGTGAAAACACTTCGCATTTTAGCAGTTGTGTTACAGATTGACCCATTTCATGAGAACTGCTTTATTGTTCTTCCATAGTTTGTATGACATTGGTCACAGAGTTTCTAGTTGTCTGTCAGGAGCCAAACATACAATAACTATCTCTGGTCAATTGGGTGATAACATTATCAACTTACCTATACAAAGCAACAATAATGAGAACCTTAAAACTTAATTCTCTCTCTCTCTGCTCAGACTTTAGTAAATATACGGTGTCTAAAGAGCATTAAACAGCTCGGCCACTGTGGCATGACAGTACATTTATACTGTACTATATAAAATAGCAATAAATAATATACTCTAGTCTTCTAGCTCAACTCTTTACACTCAGAGAGGCAAACATGAAATACTAAAAGGACTACCTCCCAGATAAATTATTCAGATGAAACCTGGAAAACTTTATGACTTAGCTATAAATACCCAGTTTCAATGCTCATTCTGCAGTTAATCTGTCTCACGGACTCCTAAAATGCGTGCATGCACCTAAGCATTTAAAGCTAAGGCATGTTTCCCACTGATTATACAAATTGTGATTTAAATTTGCTTTTGAAAATGACTGCACACACTTAGCCAGCTATGATATTTCAAGCAATATCATCAACCTTGTATATGACCTCCCAAGTCCAAAAAATTTAATATTTTGTGATTTCTATTATCTTATAAAAGCTACTTTCATGATTATGTAAGGGACTAACTTAGACCTTGGTCTTAAGTATGACGGGAAAAAAGAAATGTAGGATATGCTGAAATGCACCGACATTCACTGCCCCACCCTGACCTAGCCTTTGCACAGGCTAAAAATGCAGTCTAGAACTGTCAAGTATCTCAGAACAGGGAACATAGCCCAGACATTGACATGTTATAGTTACCTGTACTACATGAAAATGAAACAAGTCTTTACTTAACAGCAATGGCAACTGAGCCAGCAGTTTCCTCCAAAAATAGTAATTCCTGGTACATTACTGCCACTTAATATGTATCAGAAGTTTATGTAAAGGCAGGTTTTGGGTAAACCCATCCCCTAAAAAATTTAAAATAAAGAAAATAAAGAGAAATCATCATAATTTTTAACAGAACTGCTAATTCATGTCAAAATATCATTTATCATCAACTTTGCCTAATGAGCAAACAAACGAAAAACCCTTGAGACGGTAGCCAACAATAACTGCATTATGGCATACTGTAGTAAAATGATGGTGGCGATGTTGGTGGTGAGAAAAACAGAAGCAAGAATTTACAGGAAATAGTCTGGTGTTCGGCGTGTTACGTGAGGCTCCCCTCTCCTTGGTGCTGGATCAAACTGGAGGCTGTAATTAAAAAAAGATATTCTTCAAGTCAAGTGACTTGAAATTTGGAGGATTCACATGTCTCCCAAATAAACTCTTAAAATGAAAAATTTCAATAGAAAAAGGTTCTAAAACTCTTTAGCGTTTAAATGCTATATAACTAACAATCTGTTACTAAACCTTTGATGGATATAACTGAGCAAAGAGAAGTTGCTCATGTTCATTTTAAAACTACATTTAAGTGTCACAAATCAACCATTTAATTCTAATGTTTCATGAATTGCTAAAAATAATTTAATAAATGTTAAGAGGGATACAGTTCCTTAAATAATACCTGCTTCATATACTTGTAACTTTAGTGCAATATAAAATCTACAGATCCTAATTCTCCCACCACTGGTTACACACATAATGCAGAGAACTTGCAAATAAACAAACAATGTAATGAAAGCCAATACAGTATACAGTACAGGTGGCCCTTGCTTTAGGTGAGTCCACTAAATGCAATTTTCACTATCATGTGATGGCCTTATCTCTACCACTCTCCTGCTTTGTGCAAGAAAAATCCACAATTATGTGACTTGCTGGTTGGATGCGCAAAGTTCGTTTGACTGGTGTGGGCTCCACTATGCAGTTAAGGCTAATGAGACCTTGTGGAATGGCCAGTGAGTAGCCATTTGAGGCAGCCTGTGCACTCCCTCAAACACTGTCCATTGTTTTGTGTGGACCTACGCTATTCTCACCCCATCTTGTAGTGTGTGGATTTGCCATTACTTTGACTGGTACAATGTTGGCTAAGCCCTCTATTTTTCCATTGATGAAGCAAAAGACAACTCCTTTCACACTAAAAACATAGTTAAAAATATCGAGGAAAGTTGAAGCAGGTGGTGATGCATCCACACTTGGTCGGGGAGAACACAATACAAGCCATTACAAAAACTGCCAATAAAATAAGAAACTTTGCAGTCTACTAAACATCTCTTTTGGCAGGGATAATACAAGAATATGAAATCCCCAGCTGGAAAAAATGGAGATGCTTTTAATGTAGACCGAGGATCAGACCAAAAAGAAAATGGCAAATCCCTGTTGATGGTGAGCATTGAAGTAAATACTATACACGTCTTTTATATTTTTTATGACTTATTTAAGTATGGAATTTTTCATGGTTTTTTATGGGGGGGGAGAGTAAATAGATCCTAGAACGAATCCCTATTAAATTCCTGTAAAAAATTTCTCTCCCTGCAAAACTGCTGTATAAACAAAAATTTGGGGGGGGGGATTAACAACTCCCACATACAGAAGGGCCACCCATGTACAGTACAACTACTGTATTAAAATTAACTGAAACACTCAATGGGAACATAAAAGATAGTAATGGGTGCAGAGACCGAAGAGGTTGGAATAAAACCAAATTCTACAATCTTTAGCTAAAACGAAACTTGAAAGCAACTCAAGCACTTGGACATTTGAAAAACTTATCAACAAATTACACTACAACTAATTTACAATAATAGTTTAAGATTTTTAAGAAAACAATTAACATTCCAAATTCATACTTACAATGAATACTTCAGGGAGTCATCAAGCTCCATAATGGCTGCCTGGTTACCACAACGATAACAGTAGTTTGGTGCAGAGAAGATTGTAACAACATTTCGATCATGGCACCAGTTATAACCTTCCATAACCAACTGGTGAGCTCGTGACACCAAAGTGAGACCATTAGAGTGATTAAAGGTCTCAGATATGTCTTGACCAAAAGTGTAGCCCGCACCTCGTGGAGAGATGCCCCAGCCACCACGGTCATCTGGATCGGACCATAAGAGATCGCACATGGGACCCTAAAGGAAAAAAACAAACAAAATAAAACACTTTTACAAATTAAAAAAAATTTACTGAATCACTAGAATTTACCAAAATGAAAAACCTCACCTTCAAATTAACCAGAAGAGGCAATAAATGAAAATTTGTCCTGGATCTGAACAAAACCTTAACCCTAAATATCAAAAGGAATGCGACAGAATACAAAGGATTCAAAACAAAAATATGATAAATCAAACTAAAAGAGTGGGCTATTTTGAGTGTATACAAACCCACAGAGTAATTTGATTTGAGAAAAGTGAGGCAGATGACTGATAACAGACAATACATTTAATTTAAAAATAGAGGATAACTATTAATATACATACTGGATATGTACAGTTGTGACAATGGAGAAGTTAAAGGGCTGTTGGACTAAGTGTGTTTACAAACATAGGGTGTCTGAACATCATTTGGTAGAGGTGAGAATATTAACTAATGCAAGGTTTGGGTGAGAGATACAGAGATATGAGAAAAAAATTATCTAAATCAATAAAATGAGGAACCTAACTGACAAGAAATTTAGAGAAATGACTGAGGTGGTGTTGTTTAAGTGTGGTTCTTTTAAGTACAGCTGTGGTGTATTGACAATATAACAAGAATGAAAAATAGCAAGAAAAGGGGATATGAGAGGTTGACCGTGAAAATTCTGGAGAAGAGAAGAGCATCAAGCATCAGTTAAAGTAGGTAGAAATAGAAATAAAGGAAACAAGGAGTCCAGGGAATTACAATAAAACTTAAGGCAGTTAAAAATAAGAGGGGGCATTGTACTGCTGAAAAAAAGAGTAAGCAAAGAAGACACGGGGAGAATTTTTTGGGGGAAATGCTAAATATTACAGGTAAGAGAGGGGCAGCTACCATGTCCATCCACAACACTTACGGGGAAAGTAAAGCCTGTGTCGAGTGTCGAGAAAAAGACTCGTTCCTATGAAAGTAGGACATTCAAGAATTCGTAATGTCACCACAGTTGTTCAATATTTTTAAGAGTCAAAAGGAAGAGCAATGGAGATGGTAAATAGTGATATGGAATGCAAATGGTAGAAGGTGGAATCAGAAGCTCTTTGCAGACGACATTGCTCATTTGTGATTCTGATAAAAATGTACTCATGTCAGTGAAAGAGTTTGTGTGCACTAGCAGAAAATAACAGCAAATATGATGTAAATAAGTACAGCAGGGAGTCGAGGAGAAATGAAAGCTAGTTTGAATGGAGTTAAAATAAAGGACACACTGTTTCACTTATCTGGGAAAGAAAATGTCAATAATTGGAACAATGACAAATTGGTTAACAAAAAGAGAAGGGATAGAAAGTAAGAAGTTCACTAAGAAATGAATCAAGAGACAACTACTGTATAGCCAAGAACACAAAGATGAGGATGTTCAGATAAATTGTTAAGTTGGCATTACAGGTGTGAGACAGACTAAATGCAGGAGGAAGTTAGAGAATAAAAAATAAAGAAATAAGGAAGAGTGGATGTGAAAGAGGTGTTGAGCAGAGCTAACTAGGACTGGCTAGAGTGGCGCAGTATTAACACTGAGGAAATGGTAAGTGATTGGATGACAGCAAAGAAAACTCTATATTTGCTCTTGGCTATGTGGCTACTATGCAAAATATATACAGTAGTGGTAGAGTCAGCATGACTGATATTTTTAAAACCTAACACACCAAACTCACCTCATGAGGTACTTCCTGCAGCCGATCAAGTGCCCTAATGTGATCAAGTGTGTCTATTGATGGGGACAATCCACCATGCAAGCAGAATATTTGACTGTCGACTAGCGCAGTCAAAGGTAGGTAGTCGAACAAATCAGTAAAGTACTTCCAAACATTTGCATTTCCATATTTACGTAAACATTCATCATAAAACCCATACACCTGGGTAATCTGTCGGGACTCGTGGTTGCCACGGAGAATAGTTATGCGTTCACGGAACCGTACCTAAAAGATAAGTTTATTCAAGTTTGTAAAATTTAGTAAATCCTAAAACATGTACTTGTGATATCCCTAAAATAATTATATGTACTTATATTACTGGTTATATAAGAAGACCACAAAAGAGTATCTTAGTACAGTAGTGTTGAGTAAAGAGTAAGATTGTGAAATATTTTAACCAATATAGCCACATCATATAAACTGTACTTTTGACAAACTGGATTTTTGGCATTTATCTATGGAGTCTACACTACAAGCTATGTGATGGTTCATAACATGGAAAGATATCATTGTGTGAGTCAGGCTCATACATAAACAAAGTAATCTCACGTAATGGACTTGATTAGTCTCGCGTTTCTAATCATTCCCCTCAACTATTAAATAACTTCACTTTTATAATTACTGTATCATATAGTACAAAATACTGAACAAGTTTATACACCTGTCCTAAAAACAGTACTGTAAGTACCATACTTAATGTTCTATAAATACACATGAAATACACAAAAATTATTTGTATTAGCCAATATAAAATTTATATAGCAACTACATTCCTGCAAATGGCATTAATTATTGTTGAACTGATAATGTACTACTGAGAATTGCTTACCTTTAAACATACTAACAATGTGACAGTCTCTACAGAATAATAACCTCTATCAACATAATCTCCCATGAAGAGATAATTTGTGTCTGGGGACCGTCCTCCTATCTTAAAAAGTTCCATGAGGTCATGGAACTGTCCGTGAACATCCCCACAGACTGTGACTGGAGACTTTACTTCTTGTACATTGCTTTCCTTTGCAAGGACTTCTTTAGCCTGAAATAAAAACACCTACATTAGGAGTAGAAATCTAAGTTCAAAATTACACAAATAAATGCTGGAGAGAAGATAATAATGTACAGTAATTAGTCTAATCTTGACAAACTTAACAGCGAAGAATGCCAGATTAATATAGTTTTTACAAGTTCATCAATGCTGCCAACCCCCCCCCCCAACCAAAACACACAACAGTCCTCTACTTTGTGATTAGTATGCACTCTAAGAGGATACTGTGAGCTCATTTTAATGTTCAGATTGCTTATTGACTTTGAGAGAAGCTAACACTACAGTACACTTCTCTGAAGCTAGATCATCAGTTACATGCATATCATACCAAGTCCCCACATTAAATAAAAGTGGAACCTGTAGATGTGGTGGCTCATTAAGCAGTGATGATTAGGAGCAAAGTAGACAAAGCCCTTTTTTTTCAGAACAGAGGGAAGCAGCCTTGCTAAGCACTACACCGAATCACCTTCACTTTCTTTGTCTTTAATTTAACCCTTTGTGTTGATTACTACAGGGTCAAGGTTTTCCATGTGCCACATATATAAACTTCACACTTTCTATGTTATTCTCCGAGGCTCAGAGCTTCTAAATCTTCACAGAACCCATGTGGCCAAAGTGTGTACATACAGGTATTTGTTTTGAAGATCTTTTTATTTATTTATACAAGTTTTATTGTTATTCAAATGGTATATACAGTAACTTATTTTAATTATGTTCATGATCCTGTATCAACAATAATTAACTAAAATTTTTGGCTCTTAACCTCCAAAATAATGGAGGTTAAAAAGGTACCCTTAATTATTGTGCCTAGAATAATTGTTTATATGAAATGGAAGTTATTCGTTTAGGTATACAGTATTATCATCCTCATACTTGGAAATCACAAAATTCTGTCATCTAGGGATCTCCACTAGAACACATTGACAGAAATTAAAGTGATGAATACCCATTCACAGCTTCATAACTGGAGGTGCCTAAGATGCAAGCCAGCTGCGTCCAGGACAGCAGGCAAGCACGGTATAATCCTGGAAAAAGTTAGCATACATTAAGCCATTTCCCAAAATTTGTGGGGTGGCAATCCCAAGACAAGGTGAGTTTGCTTAGCCCAGAGCATCAACCTGTTGAGTGAAGACAATGTCAAGGGAAGGCCACAAGACCGCTTCCATCAGCTTTTCAATGTTGGAGGGAATGACGGACAGGGCTGAGTATTCGACATGACCTGACCAAACTTAAGCCTTGTAGTGTAGTGTTAGTACCTCGTTGCCGTTAAGGAATCGAACCAACCTTCAGTGTAGACACCCAGAAGGCCATACAAGTGACAATACTGAGGTGTTTGGCAAACATCAGATCCCCTGGGAATCTGTACCATTCTCCCAGTTCTTGAAGAGGAGAAGCAAATCTGGGGTGGACTGAGTAATCTGTAACCGCACTGCCTGTCAGATTGCAGTAAGGTAGAAGAGAGAAAAATAAATAACATAAAATAAATAAATCAAACAACCAGTGTTTCCAGTAACCTGCCTCTACCTAAGAAAATTGTGACCAATCATAATAAATTTTTCTTTTATTTCAAGCAAGGATAGATTGGTTCACACAGCACATTCACACACAAAAGTCCTATTGCCTCTCCTCATGAACCACGAACCCCGAGATTCAAACTAGTGAATATGAAGCACTTAATGGAAAGAATAATGCATCAGTGTTTACTCCTTCGGGTTCATAAGTTTGAATCTTGGGGTTCGTGGAACAGCACTAATGGCAACAGGACTTTAGTGGGTGAGTGTACAGTAAGGTACTTCAGAGAGCCATCGAGTGCCACCAAAGCAACAACAAGCAGAGTAGGTGGGAACCACATCATATGTTTCTTGAAGCCAAGATGGCAGCTCGCCCCTACAGCCATAACAGAGTAGTTTCCCTTCCTTGCACTCATTAACCTTACGTATATGCTTCATGTAATCGAATGAAGGTTGTTAGTTACCTTCTAAATATTATGAGAAATGAGTGGTAGTGTGACAAATTAATAGTTCTTTAACATACTGTACAAAAATGTTCATCTTTTTATGATGCTCCAACACCACAAAACATGACCATTAGGACATTCAGGTACTCCCAACTTCTGTTCCTGTAAAACCTTTTGCAAATCAATTTTCATTAATCGAATCACATTTTCTTGGTCATAATACAAAAGCTGAGTCAAGTTAATATCTTGTTGCTAGGTTTGTTGCATAATGGAAAAGTACCATATGGTCCTGCGCTGTGCCAGCCCTAATGATTACAAAGTTACTATTTATCAAAATTATAATTTTTTCAAAAAATTTAGTACAGTTGCTACCTATATGGTACAGTCTTTCCTCTTCAACCACAGGGGTAAGGTTCCTGAGTAACCTTGTGGTTTTCATAGATCTAACAGCAAATTATCTTTATAAAGTACTGTACACTAGAATCGCCATTTTCAGTTTCTCTGAAAAATCCACAAATTCGAAGAGAGCTTTGTCCATATACCTTTCAGTATAACGAGACAAATGCTCTGATAATATCATAAAACACATAATACAGTACACACTCAGTACAGTAATACATGATGACAGAAGAGAAATGCAAACAAATCAACATAGTGACTACTGTGCTTTACCCTCATAACCCAATGCAACAAGGATTTCACTTCCACATATCATACTTCATATTGTGTACAAATGACACTTGCAACACAATGAAAATGAAAAGTAAAATGTCCATCATTATAACACAAAATAATATAAGATGGCTTTACTATCAGAAACAAAGATTTCTGCTGCAACTGTTACTCAAACAACTCTCAAAGACTTAATGAGAGCAATTTCTAAAAGGAATGCAAATCCCAAGAGCTTTGGAGTCACTTAACTGTACTGTACATGTATTTAGCCTCACTTAAGCTTTTGGCTTTAATAATGATAATTTTTTCAGGATCTAGTGCACAGAACACAAATCAGGTAGGGGAGCAAGGAAAAACATTTAAAAAATACCATAATGAGGAGAGTGCAATAGCCTGTAGCTTTAGCACTTAAATGAACTGACAAAAACCATGACAGAACTACATATAGCTATATGATTTTAGCAGGAATGAACCTCTTGAGTGTTGCCAGACTTACTGTAAGTACTGTATCACTGTACAGTATTGGTCATGCAACTCAACCTCACCAGTCTCAACCATGGCAAGGTTTTAGGTATTACAACCATTTTGATGCAATCAAAACTACATTATACAGATGGCTCCGTTAGCTGGTGCTCCTTCACTCAATTTTGAAAACAGGTAAGTGCTGTACCTATTTTGAGCACCTGTGAGATCTTAAAATGCTCATCTCAACTCTAATGTTATGGGTACTGTATGTGTAAGGCTGTCATGCAGCAAAGGTTATGTACTGCATAGTTAATTGGCAAAATGCATACCTAAGTAGCATTGGGTCAAGGAACAGTCCAATTTCACCAGTTAGTAATCCCATTTGTTCTATTAATTGGCTTTTTTATATAGCTACTATACATCTGGTGGTCTGGCCCGAGTTTAACAAAATATCTGGTAGCTATGTGCTGGTACTGTACTGTATACTGTAGCCTTAAAGGAAAAGCTACTGTACTGTATTTCAATAGTAGTTGGGGGCATACTAGTAGTGTGTTTATTAGTGCGAGGTAAAACAGGTTTGTACAGTACATTATACAACATCTTCCTTTAAGATTTTGTGGTATAGTTTCCTCTAATTTTATGTTTTTAAAATTGGGAAAAATATGCAGTCTGAAAACTGGCTCAGACAGCTTAGAATATTTTTTCTGTGAAAAGCAAAGAACACAAATCAGGTGGGAAAGCAAGGAAAAACAGATTTAAATGAACCATACTTAGAAAAGGGCAAATAGCCTGTGGTTTGAGTGCTACAATAAAATGACAAAAGCCACAACAGAACTACAATACAGTAAACTGTATCTCATTTCAATAGGACTGAACCTCTTGGGTATTGCCAGTTTTGAGTACAGTAGAATACCTGTACTGGACATTTAAGTATTCCAAACCTTTCTTGCCCACAATGGGTGGTTGTGGTATTTTCAGAAAAGGCACAAAAACTCAAACAAGGGAATCTGTGGTGAGGCTCTGCTTACATTCAAAGTACGGAGCCATTCCCACAGAAACTACCGGGTAAACAGAATGAGTGAATCAGGACCTATCATGTTGACAAAACTAGACTATAAATTTATATACAGTACAATTATACATTATATATAAAATATATATGGTATATACTAGTATAGAGTATATAAAGAGACAATCTATAGTGCAGTACAGTACTATAGTTATAAGTACAACATGTGGTGGCCTCTACAATACAGTACTGTACATATAACTATTGGTAATCCTCAAAATCCACCACAAACAGATAGACCCCAATTTATGAAGCATCAGCTTAAAAAAATCAGTTACAAAAAGGAAAACTCTGATGTTACAAGTTTTTTTCGCTTTCTTTGTTATTTTCCCGATTAATTATGATATGCTAAAACAATAATTTTTTTAATCCCTGCATAATTTCTTATTTCACTTATCTCTAACATTCATAATATTAAGTATAAAATAAGCTTTCAATGTGTAATCATTCTCCTGTAATTACCATATAACTCAAATACACTGAAGACAAGTAGACTTGTCTCCATCACTCAGCCAGTTGCCGGATTGTCAAATTTCTCATTTACTCATGTAGTATATGGAACATTAAATAAAAGAAACTAAATGCATATCCTTAAGTTTCATGACAATTAACAACAAAAGTGTTAGTTATCAAAGTTATAAACGAGCGCACGAGGGAGGGAGTGAAGTCAGCTGTACTGTACTAAATGCACCTCAATCAAAAATATTAAATTGTGAATACTGTAGTATCAAATTAGCACAATTCAGGATATACTCTACCTGTATTTGAGTGGCATACCGTGGTTGCACTGATGAGGCATACAGAACACCCACATATATCAGTTAGCAAATCAAATATCAAGTAGGATATGCCCTTTCTCTAAATAAGGGTTGTTAAGCTTTTATAAACACCTAATGTCTTAAATTATATCAGTGGCATCTGACAAAGCATCTATTATAAATCATTAAATATGGGTGCAAAAATACTTACGGCAAAAGAAGATTAAGCTTTCAGTGTGATCTACAGTAATTTAGTAATAAAGTGGTTAAAGAAAATGACTAGGCATCATGCAAAATGCTGGCCTACTGTAAAGTTGCCAATGATCTTTTTGCTGAACAGTTAAATAATTAGTAAATATTTGTATTTGTATGATCCGATTATTATTTCACGTAAAACAGAACACTGAATGACTTTCCCGAGTGAAAAAATTATAACTGAAAGCGGACTGTAGGGTTATTTAGAAATATTAAAAATAATATTGTGGACCAGTTTTGTCCAGTGAATGCAATTTCCGAAGTGCATGTATTTGTGCCTAGGGTTGCCATATCTGAACATTAAAAAAAGAGGACGCTCCAGAAGACATCCTGCCCCCCCGGCACACACTTTGGCGCTATGTAACCTTGAAGCAGCCGTTTTATATATATATATATATATATATATATATATATATATATATATATATATATATATATATATATATATATAATCTCGGTGTACTGTATTGCATTGTATTTAATGTAGGCTAATATACAACATTCATGGTAAAGAAATCTTAAAAATAATAAAAAAATTACCTTTGCTTAAGGCTGAATATCTTCATTCCCTTAGCTGCAGTCTTCTTCCCCCACTGTGTGTGTGACTTGATGTGCCCATGCACATCAAGATTATGGTTGAAAATTGCTAAAATGCCTTAAATGCAGGACAAGAAAAACAAATGCTAGTGTAAAAAAAAACCATAAGAAAAATATGGTATACTTTCAACATTTCATTTATGGCTGTAATAGCACTAAATACAAAAAAAATGAATAATGCGCGTGCCTGAAGAACAAGGAAAAGCAGTACACGGCACTACATGCTAGCCCAAAAATTGCAAGCAGCTCTGTTGGCAACACCGTACAGGGGTACACGTGACTTATCAGCTGACGAAAACTGAACGAGATCTCTATGGTTTCCACCTCCCCTCTCTCACAGTCTCTCTCTCTCGTCATTACAGTTTCATGTTTTTTTTTCCGTGGAGAAAATGATGGAAGCTGAAATTCCGGACTTTTAAAGAATTTTAAAAATTACTTCCGGACGAAGATTTCGAGACCTAAATGGAGGACATGTCCGGGAAAATACGGACGTATGGCAACCCTATTTGTGCCCATTAAAATTACAGAAACCTATTAAATAGCCACTCTTATGGATCAACTCTTAGGTAATATAATATCACCATATAACATAAGACTCCATGCTTATTAAGGGAAAAAGTATTAAATTTGACTAAAATGGCTCAAATACCTTATGCTCCAACACAATAAAGATCATTTTAGTATGTTATTGATAAGATGGTTATGTCTATATGTCCATTGCGGGCATGCAGCTTATCCTTCTGCATGCATTGAGGGACGCTGAGTCTCCTCAAATTTCCTGAGTGAAAAGTGTGAAGACTCTAAAATTAAATCTATTATTGAAGATACTATTAAAAAATATATTCTCCTTTCTACTAGGCATGCAATGCATGCCTTCCATTCATTAAGAATACACCACTGCTGTATTTATCTCTCAGTGATTTGTTTCTTGCTAAAACCAAACTCAGTTCAGTGATGGTTTGTTTTCCTTCAAACCACTGCTGTCAACCTGCCGAGTTCCCTCATCATTAGAAGGAAGGGGAAAGATGGAATATACCTACATAACCATCACCATTTTATGGTTATTTTTTTATGCTTGCATGGTTTAGCCATATTTACCTGAGGGCAACTATCCAAATTGGTCTCTTCCAATCTCTTTCCCAGCTACCACCAGGCAAATTTGAAGCAAGTCTCATGGGTGGATGCTCTACCTATTGCTAACTACTTTTACATATACTGTACTTTAGGGAAATGGGCATTACAGTCTGAAAAAAATAATGATCCCATTATGTACTTACATATTTTTACACTAGAATCGCAGCCCGGTTATGACCCACCAAATTGAATCAGGAATGAAATTATTTGTCTGTGTCAAATCAGTGGTGCCTTGGACCTCTAAGCATGAGATACCTACTGTACATGACCAGTGTTTACTGTAGCTGTATCATATCCTGGGGCATTTTCTTCTCAACAGTAGATCAAGCACCATAATTGGCTTTGTTGGCATTGGATAGACACGATGGATGGAAGTCCATTATTTACAAAAATAACCCTGGGAAATTACCTGTACAAAAATAGCAATCCCTATCATTAGCTACTATTTTCATGAGATTAATTAGTTGTCTTCAAAAGCTAGTGGAGAGATGGAAGAGCATCATAGAGTATTAACCACTAACTTAAACAGGAAAAACCATAAACCACCTGAACTTGACCTACTGATTCTCAGGACCACAGTTGTTGATCCCCACTGTCCAGCCAAGGTTCCTGGGTAAATTTTAGCTAGCAGTGTGGTTTGGACCAACAGCCATGCCTCCATTATGATGTTACTTTTGGATATCACAGGAATAATAGTAATTTTATATTTGCAAAAAATGAGTTACTAGAAGAATAATACGAGTAAAGTTTTGTTTTCAGACAACATGGGAATCATAGGAGTTTTATCTTTGCAATCAATAGTTTAAACAATTCTAAGACACTTTTCTTCTAAACGTTTCCCCCACAAGCAACTTATATATGCCGGGTGTCCAAGGAAGGAGCCGCCGGTTAGTTTAGGTAATTAGTGAGGGAAACGTCATGGAAGTAAAGTGTCTTACAATTGTCTAAACTATTGATTGCAAAGATAAAAATCCTATGATTCCCATGTTGTCTTTTTATTATCTAAATATAACTTGTTTAAATGAAAACATTTTGTATATAACTGTGCTATGGTAATGAATTTGGCGTTTCATGTACCATCACCCCATAATTTAAATCACTAAAACAAAACTTTTCAACTGTCTCCTGGTATGTTTCACCATAATACATCAAATACCTCCCTTATCTTGTCAAAAACAAACGAACATTGAAGTGAGTGACGGAAACCAACAAATCTATTATACGCATTAGCCTATACAGTACCAAAAGCAATATGTCATCGCTTAATCTAATTCACTAGTAAGCAGAAACCATTAAAAGAATCCTGCTTTTCTAAGTGAATCTAATATAATATGAAAAATATTAAGAGCCTCAGACGGGGTTGACAGTGACGGGTAGGGTGGAGCTTCACTTATCTCAAGTCTATTAACCTCATCACACCAATACTTTTCCAGCTATTTTCATGCAATAACCACATTATGATGGCCATATGCTAACAATCAGAAACAATATAATAATCCTAATCCTCAGGAAACCTTAAAATAGTGTAAAAAACAATCCGGTCTTACCTTTTCACATAATGTTTTCACTTGATTCTCCGCCAACTGTTTACACTCCATCAGCTGGTCTATCCACTGGTCTAACTCTTTCATCTGTGTTTTGTCATCCATTGTGATATACTTTAAAGTTTCTGGTGATACTAGTAACGATTTACCCTCACTTATACCGGGTTAAAATTAGTGTTTTACTCTAGAACATCAACACCGTGCGCCACCGTCTCCCTCCTTCACAATATGGCCGCTGACTAGTACCCAAGATGACGTCATCTCACAGATACCAACTAGTTGTAATTATCTCCCCGAGAAGGAAATATTTTACCATCTTCCTATACTACTTTTTATCAGCAATGGCGTTTAAGTTTATGTATATAAGTACAAAATTTTACTGTTCCTTGAAGGAATTGCTTCTCTTATAGTGTCAGATATGTAGTTATCGTTCCGGCCAGATGCTTCACGGTGTGTGAGGCTAGAGGAAAAGCATTTTTCCATTTCGCTATCATATCATAATAGAAAATTACCATGTTAATTGGTACCCTTTAATTATATTCATTTTCACTTTTTACATAAACTGAGTCATCAATTTAAAATAATTAGCCTACTTTTTCAACACAAAGGTTAAATTAACGTGTAAACATTACAAGATCTTGACATATATTTTGTAAATATAGGTCATACAAAATTACAAAATATATTTTAAATATAAGTAGAATATTATCATGAATAATTGTTGTAAAATATTTGGAGTAATGAAAATAGTACTCTGAATTGAAAATTGGGTAATGCATCTGTGAAAACCCGGTGCTACCACAACAATGGTACCTAATACTATGAAAATCGGCCAATAAATTTATAAGGCTCGTCTTCTTGTGGGGGAGTGCAGGGATTGTGCAAAATGCCCTGCAAAACCGTTTTAGTTTCACTAACAGGGAATAATACTCTTTCTTTTTATTTGGGTTTGGAATTTTTAAAGTACTTTTATGTTCTAAAATCATTCCCACCGTGTTCGTCTGTATTCCATCGAGCGATTTAAACAAGTACAGTACTGTACATGTGGAGGCTAGCATCCTCAGCTCTCAATAACCATCCTCCTCTTCCAATATGGTTAAGGAGTAGTTGACATCTATACAAGCTCTCGTGCATATTCTCTTAAATTGTCACTGTATCAAATTATGGGCTGAAATAACAGTCGTATTTTGTGTTTTTGTTGTCTTAATAAATATAACCTTTATATTCTTGCAGCAAGTTATGATGTACGTAAAGGACAAGACGGTAGTGTAACTGTTTTATTCTTCTTAGATAAATAATCTTGTATATGGCTTTCAGTTCGCTCGATATTTCGTGACAAATGGTTTTGCTGGTGTCATAATTTTATTTACTTTTTTCAATACGTTGTTGTCACTATAAGCCATTCAGTGGATCTCCCAGGGTAGGGGATATGGCCATATGGGATATATGCACCCCTCCAGCTGCCTTGATTTACATATACCCTGTATATCATTATGATATCTCGATTGGAATTCGGTGTCAAGGGGTAATGAAAATGAATAAGCTATGTTCTTCCCTCCCTCCGACTGGCGTGTTTTAGAGAGTGAAGGGAAACACTTGCAGTATGATTGTTTATTTCATAAAATCTTGTTCTAAGGTAAGGAATAACGGAGAATGACTATCACTACGTGATATTTATTGTGTACGATTAGCAAAATTCACTTTATCGATGGCATGTAGTGTTAGTAGCCTATTTGATGTATAAAGCTCAGCCGGGACTCCGACGGGAGTGGGTGTCTGGGCGACAGTCTTCTTATTTAAGGCCAGCGGTATATTCAGTACAGTACTTACTTTAACTTCGAAGCATTGCAATTACTCGTGTCGTTCTGCCTGTGGTAAGCGTAATCCTGATGTGTAATGACCATAAAGTATCAAAACACAGGCCAGAAACCCTCAACTCCATTATGTTTTAGAAATTAAAGTGTTACTGAAGGTGTGGGGTTCTGAGATGTCTCCTACATAAACACAAGATGGTGAGTACGTAATAATATTCATCCGTCGTGCGTTATTCAATTCAATTTCAATTGTTTATTCCTTGATAGAGGAAGCGGGATCCTAGTGCTGTCACTAGGTACCCCTGTTTGTGCGTTATTTGTGTACTATTGTTCTGAAATGCCCGTACGTGTAATCTTTTTGTATCTGTACTTGTAGCCTAATTGTATTTGTACATATAACCTATACTTGTATCTGTACCTGTAACCTACTTGTATCAGTACCAGTAGTATATTTGTATCTGTACCTGTAAACTATTTGCATCTATACCTGTAGTCTACTTGAAGCCTATACTTGTGTATGTACTTGTAATCTACTTGAAGCCTACTTGTAACTGTACCTGTAGCTTACTTGTACGGTACTATTGCCTATTCTCTTTGTTTATCTGTTCATGTTGCGTGCTCGTTCTAAAACTCCTGTACCTATGCTGTTGTTTCTGCATTAAATATATCGTGAATGATAAGAGCAATAGTGTCACCGTGATAGAGACAGAGACTGGTGCGTATAGTAAGTTTGAGGGTCACCGCAGCTGGCGAGGAGTCATAAAAGAGGGAAGTGCGGCTCTAGGTCAAGGTTAGCGGCGAGGCAGCACGTTGAAGGTGAGAAACAGGAAACAGTGACAGGGAGGGAGAGAACGATGTAATGGTGAGAGGGAGGATGGTAGAGGAAAATGGGTGAATAAGAGGTGGTAGGGGAAAGAAGGAGGGAGGGGAAGTGGAGAAACTGAGAGCAAGGGAAAGAGGAAGTGGGGCTCACCTGAAGATTAGCCCCAGCTTATTTCACCTGATGATTAGATACCCAAACTTTACCTAAGGGATTATGTTAGATTAGTGAAGGTCATATATGGTTAGGTTAGCGTTAGGGTGGTTCTCAACTGGCTCAGCCATGTTAATATTGTTATTATTATCCACTCTGTATCTGTGTTCTGGCTAAATAAACTTTTTTCAGTTCAATTCAATCCAACCTGGGGGGATTAATTTTATGGTGATCCGGAAATAGTAACAAGGGTGAGTGTTTTTATATCAGCGTGAGAGACAGGTGGTAGTGAGTCAGATGATCATGTCATTAGTCATGACGAAGATTTGGTCATCAGTTTTGTTTAGGCTTAATGTGCTGCTGTACATTCTGCCTTAAGCGGGGGAGGGACGGGGTGGAGGGGAGGAGGTTGGAACGAAACAACTTTCTCTGCTAGTCACTCACTAGGTTAGGCGTTCACTGAAATGTTAAACCCAGGTATGAGCATGGGTAATTGTCTTTCTGCTCCTCTAGCCTGTATATATATGGAGTTTTTTGAGTCCAGATTACTTCCCAATATAGTGGACTTTATTCCTCCATGGTATAGATATGTAGATGATGTTCTTTGTCTTTGGCCTAAAAACAGTGACCCATTGGAATTTTTAGACAAGCTTAATAATATTGTCCCAAGTATCACATTCAAAATTGAAAGAGAAATAAATGAATCCCTTCCATTTCTTGATATGCTAATCATGAGAAATGGCCAAAACTATAAATTTAAGGTATATAGAAAGCCCACACAGGTAGACAGTTTCATTCACTTTTTATCGAATCACCTTGAGTCTACCAAAATGTCAGTTTTTTCTGTTATGTTTTTAAGATGTCTGCGTATTTGTGACTCTGAATTTATTGACGATGAATTGAAACACATTCGTTCTATTGCACATAAACTCGGGTACCCTTCTGTGTTTGTTGATCGTTGTTTCAAAAGGGCTAAAAAATCCTTTCATTCCTCTCAAACCAGACATGTTCCTACACTTAAGAATATTTTGACTCTGCCCTATCGTAATGAATTTGTCCCGTTAGTTCGGTCCCTCAAGCTTCTAAATATTAATGTTGTTTTCAAGTATGACTCCACCATTACCAATATGTTAATAAGGAATAGCCCATGTTTGAATGTAAATGGAAGTGTTTATTGTATTCCATGTAGCAAATGTAATTGTAATTATGTAGGTCAGACAGGAAAAACACTGCAGCTTAGAATCAAACAACATAAGTATAATATCAGAACTGCATCTGAAAGCAGTGCCTTGTTTGTTCATGTTAGGAATAATAATCACCCCATTGCTTGGGAAAAAAGCTTAGAAGTATTCAAATCATCTTGTGTCACAGAAAGACTTCTTGTTGAAGCTAGTTTGATTAAGGAATTAAAATCAATAAACCTTAGTGATGGTCAGTTCAAAACTGATAATATGTTACATAAATTATTTGTCAGTGGCCCAAGGTTAAAAATGCTTTGAAAACCTTTGATCTAGATGTATGATAGTTATTCTGTGGGTCCCTTTTTTCTGACCTGACTTGGCTAGTCACGTCACCTCCCTTCTCTTAAGCTCCTCTACGTGTGTGTTGGTGTGGGGATTAGTGGATGTCATCATTTTGACCTGACCTCATGTTTTTAGGTCACCCTGTATATTTAAGCCTCTCTCTGTCCATGTAATCCAGTTGCCTCTGAAGATGTCTTGAATAAAGACGAAAGCTAAGGTACTCCGTTGTTTCCATCTTCCCGTGTGATTTTATCAAGATATATATATATATATATATATATATATGTAGATTATTGAAACATGCAAACATTTCTATAAATTTGGGGGCCCACTGATGAGTTTGGCCTGGGGCCCACAAGTAGGTAAATCCGGCCCTGCATTCTGGCATTGTTTTCATGGTTCGGAGCTGAGTCAGGGATTGATAATAATTAATGAGAGGAAGTGTGTGGTGAGGGATCGAGTGTGTGTACAGTCTCGTTCAAGATTCTTCGAACACTGCTGGAGACAGTTGGCAACTCAAGGCCGTTTGTTTATTATAGTACGTAGTATAATATAATACGAAACAACAATGCCCATTCATTAAATTAAGCACCGGGGAACTAAGTAAACAAACTGCCTTGAGTTGCTAGCTGTTTCCAGCAGTGTTTGAAGAATCTTGAACGAGACTGTACATAAATATGTGTAAGTGGTGGTTGAAATAAGAGAAGGGGAGGGAGGTGAAGGGTAGGGGGAACCATGATGCAGTATTTTGTGTTGGTTCCATGAGCTAACATTCGCCTGTTACCTTTGCTTTTTACTTACTTTTATCCTCTTCACCACTGATCGGCTCGTTAGCCGCTTGGGCGATCGGCCACGTACTGGGCATGCACTGGCTCCTGAATGTATCTGGACATGCTCCAGTGCTTGTCAAGTCTGGTCTTGAAAGAGATCACGCTCGGTGC